CTCTTTCTAAAATCAATGCAAAGTCCACAATCTCAAATTCAACTTCTTTAACAATTACACCTTTAGTTTTCTACGTGTGTTAAGGCAGGGATTTGGAGAGCAATTCATTCTTTAATCAATCCTGTTCAATCCTACCTCCACTCTCATATTGAGGGTCCTTCAAAAAATTCTGGAAGATTTTTTTAAGATTCTGTATAAATAAGACCTGTTCCTGGTCTTCCCCCATTTCCCACAAAGGTTTCAGGTCTCTGGTCTGCTAAATAAGTCACCACTTGTACATTTCTTTCCAGCTTCCAACATTTCGTTGGAATCTTCATCTCCATTATTCTCTCTGTCCTTAGAGATGTCTTTTTTTATTCTTTTTCTATCATTTTTGTCCCAAGCAGTAATAGTGGTAAGCACATATGTTTAATCTTCCAAGTTCAACTGGAATCCTCTTATTTATTTTATTAGATTAAAGTAAAACTGCTAGGTGAAGAGACATGCCATTTAGAAAGCATAAACTAATCTGTACTCCTTCTATTAAGGATAGACAATGGGATTTTATTTTTGCCAACTTGATAAATGATCATATGAAATCGTAAGTTATTTTGCAAAATGTGATTAAATACTTTTTCATATATTGAGATTATTTTTCATACTTTTATTGGAATAGCCATTCTTTTTTCTTCTTTAGTAAAATACCTATATATTTTCTTTGCACATTTTCTACTGGCCATCTTGCTGTCTTCTGTACTCCCTACACTTCAATTAAAAAAAACAAAACACTATGTTTGCTATTTTTGTCCAATTATTCTTTCAGGTATATTTCACCATTTAAAATTTATAATATTAATTTGAAGTTGACATATTTCAGAAATTTCATATCTCTGAAATTTCATTCAAGTATTTTTACTTCCCAAAGTAAAGATTTATAGTTTTTCATATAGACCAACACCGTCCTTACTTTGGGTTGTTGAGATTTATACAGATATATATTTGCATATATATGTGACTTTTGATTAAAAATCTGTATGCAATTACTATCATCTTTAAAATTAAAAAAAAAAAAAAATTCGCCCTAACTGCTGCGACTCAGTGGACAGAGCATCAGCCTGCAGACTGAAGGGTCCTGGATTTGATTCCAGTCCAGGGCATATGCCTTGGTTGTGGCCTCGATCCCCAGTTAGGGGTGTACAGGAGGGAGCGGATCAATGATTCTCTCTCATCACTGATGTTTCTATTTCTCTCTCCCCCTCCCCTTCTCTCTGAAATCAATAAAAATATATTTAAAAATTTTTTTCTACTGTATCTGAATATATTGAGAATTACATGGACTATTCTAGTCAAGGATAGCAAATCCTTTTAATATTTCTTAGCTGTACCCTTTTTCATTCCCCAAACACAGACCTAATCTGAGCTGTTAAATTGAGTTAGCCTCCATTCCTCCACTTAATTTCCTTTCAGTTCAAGCTAAACATTAATAGAACCACCTTCTTAAATTAGTTTAATTAAAACCTCCTTTCTTTAATACCTAAAATAGCTCCTAAGTGATTAATTAAAACACCGAATCTCAGATTCTGTGGGCTTTTATCAAAGGGCATTTGCTTAACTAACTTGTTCTAATATTTCCAATCGAGCAGCTCTCCTTGCCCCACCCCACTAATATCTTCCTCTTTCCAACCCAACTTCACCTAGTTCTACTCACTCACCTTACATTTCCTCTTTTCCTAATCACTAAACATGTATTCATCTCTGCACAGCTAAAATGAACTGGATTAGAAAGTTTAATTCTGTATTTTTTATTTTTGGAGTAACCTGAAATAACTTCCTTATTACTTCATCATGATACAACTCTCTAAATTTCTCTCTAGGACTTTAGAAACCTGGGAACTAGAAACTGTTTCTAAGACTTAGCTCATTGTCTTTTTTTTTTTTTTTTTTTAAGTGCATAAGAACATTCAGAGGTTTGTAGTGTGGTGGTAGATCTATTGGTTTCTCAAAGCAGATAATAACCAAGAGTTTAGATGACAGTTTGTACTCTTACCTCTATTGCTCGAATTACTTTAGAAAGTTCTTTAATAAGATGTCCAGGTCTAACATTGTCTGGAATTTCAAAGGCATGTTCGGATACAAGCTGTATTTGGATTAACAAAGACAAAACAACCAAAGTTACTTATACTTTAATATGTAAAAAACTTATTAAGCCAATTTTGGGGTTCTCCAGATTTTATAGACACAGCTAAATACTAATAAGCCAGGACTCAGAGTTCATGTGGTTGGTGTGATACCTCCTAAGGTATCTTTATTAAAAGATCTTCTAAGGAGATCTTTATTAACTTATAAAATCCCCTTAGATTGAGATAAAGATGGACTGGTCTCATAGTAAATTTTGCTTTATATTGAGTAGTAACCTTGTACTCTAGACCTCAAAAGACTACTATAATTAGTAAAGTAACTAATTAAAACTAACAATTAATTCATAATACATAAGGATTTATAAGGGGCAACACAGGCACTGAAATAATCTTAGTCCACTGGCACAAGAAACGTGCAATGGAAGCGTAAGGGAAGGACATACCAACTCCAAAAGGAGATCTGGGACCACCTCTTAGAGAAGGAATTCAAATGCCAACAACTAGACCACATTTGAAAATGGAAAGCTCCGGCTTGAACTCTGCCTTCCTTTCTTTCATTTTTTCCTAAGTCTAGCAGAGAGATAAGAGCATCAGCTTTGCAATTGCAGGGACCTAGATTTAAATCCTAGCTCTGCCGGGTCTCTTGGGCAAGTTACTTAAATTCCTTGAACCTCAGCTTCCCCACATGTAAATGGGGATTATAACAGCACCCAGACTTCATATAGTTGCTTTGAAGATTAAATTAGTTTATGGCTATGAGAACTAAGCACAGTGGTTGGCACACTATGAGAGCTCAGTTACTTATTATTAGTCTACATTTACATTTTCATTTCTTAGTCAGTACCCTAAGTATACTTGAATTACTTTCCAGCTTTAAGAAATTCTGAGGTACTTAATTCTCACAGAAACATAAACCATTTGTATTGCTGTACGTAAAATGAAGGTTGTACTGTCTATAAAACATGGTTTCTAGTCCTTCTACTGTGGCTACTCCTGCCACACAGCTTGAGGACTCCATTTTCCTGAACTTACCATATAAAAAATAACAATTATTTCACCAAAGAAAACGACTTACTTCTTTTTTCATCCACAATTTTAAAGCAGTATGCAGTGCTTTCACGCCCTGTACTAGGTAAGTCTGAGGCTGGAAACCATCTTCTTTCAGTTCTGTGGGGATGGAAGAGGCAGGGAAAGGAGTTAAGTGTTTCAAAGATAAATGAATCAACTTTACATTTTGAGTAACCACCAAATATCAAACTGCATAACTTCCAAATTAACAGAAAGGGATAAGGTTAATAAACAACTGATTGAAAAAGCAAAAAAACAAAAACAAAAACAGAATTACATTAAGTGTCATTGTACTAAATGCTCAAGTTAAAAGAAAGCTCACAAACATAACACTGAGTAAAAAACAGGTCACAAAAAATGTCAGTATTAAGCTACTCATAGATGTCTAGAAATTAAACTATTTTAGTTTATGACATAGGTGATAAAGCAGAAAAAAAGAATTATCACAAAGGTCAGGATAATAGGTTCTCTCTTGAAGGGAAGGAGAGGGTGCAACGAGAAAAATAAGGAGCATGACTAGGGTACTGGCAAGGCTGTTTCTGCTCACCCTGAGCGACAGGCTTATAATTCTTTAAACTGTATGAGAGTGTATGCGTAGGCAATGTGTGATCCATACACCTCACTATGGGCATGAAATAATTCACTATCGCAAATACACACCCACACCCACAAACCCAGACTCTTCTGGGTTTTTAAACCAAATTGATTATCTAAAATTCATATAAAATACATTAGATGTGGTCTACAACTCAGGCAAGTTGAAGCAAAAGTGAAAGATTTCTACTTCTGCCCTGTGGCTAATTTACTTACATAAACCTCAAACTGGTCACTGTTTTATTATTACTGACACTAAATTTAGTTAAGAGTTTCCCAATCCTCCCACATTTAACCTATCATATAAGCCTATAACAATCTAAGAGCTGGAAATAACAGGCTGCAATGGAAAGTTACAAGGTCAGCGATGAAAGGACAATATAAGATGGGGTAACAAGACCACCATTCCTGATTCCAGGACGAGTGCGTAGATGTGGCACTGATATAATGGTCCTTTGGCTCTATCCTCAGTGGGATTGAAGATACATTAGTAATGCCAGGTATCCTGTACTGACCTGGCAGATGAAATCAAAACACTTTAAAACCTGACCTGCAAATATCCTTTTATAGTAATCTTTTTTTTTTTTACTTTAATGTACAGGATTATGTTTTCTAATCAGATCTCAATAGTTCTTAACTCTCAATGGACTAAAATAAAGGCTAACCCATTCTCAGACTAAACAATCTGCTGCTTATGACTTCGAGAACAGCAAGATTTTGTCTTTCAGATAAATTCTTAATTTGATTGGTAAACCCCTCTTAGACATTAGGGGAAAAGCATCATCTAAGGGCGTGTGTGTGTGCATGTGCATGTGTGTGCTGTTGAGAAAAGAAACAATGATCAAAGTACTCTGAAATTTCCTGAGTTTTGAATTGCCAATCTCTAATCTGGAGGATTCAGTTATTGGGTTTTATTTCCAGAAAACAAGAACATCTGTAAGTGTTTATGTATATATATCTAGGGTTCTACTTGGATAGGAGACTATGAACTTTAATGTCTAGAATTTTACTAGAAACTATAGATGGCAACTGTATGGTCCATTGTGACATTCCTGCAGCCACCAAAAACACCTGAAAACACTGGACAAGGCGGAGACTCAGATAAGGAGTTGTTTGTGGAGCAGAGACTGATCTGGTGCAGAGAGCACCTGTTCTTCCTCAACCGTGGGTTCCTACCTCCATCACAGACATTTGCACCACTGATATCTCCCTGTATGCTGTGCTGCAGGTGTGGGATGGGGTTATTATTCTTTCCTCCTAAAGACAGTGAGACCTTTCATTGAGCAAAGAAACCATAAATAAGATTTATCATTTGTCTAGCTGGTGCGTTCAGTGGTTGAGCATTGACCTATGAACCATGAGGTCATGGTTTGATTCTCAGTCAGGGCACATACCCAGGTTGCAGGCTCAATCCCCAGTGTGGGGAGTGCAGGAGGCAGCCGGTCAATGATTCTCTCTTATCATTAATGTTTCTATCTCCCTCACCCTTCCTCTCTGCAATCAATAACTTTTTATTTATTTTATCATTTAATTCTGTGCATGCTATCCTGGGAAGCAAGTTCTGGTTGTTTCTTTTCATTTCACCTTTTATTCTCATGTAACTTTTACATGGAAAAAGAAATATGTGTAGAATAGACTTTACTCTTTAATCTGCTTATATCTGTTTCTTCTGGAAGTTAATTATAATAGTAGCACTATTTGCAAATGGACTGGACAAGTTAGACAACACAGAAACAGACAAACTGCATTCTCAAGGGCACAACTGAATGAAAAGCAAAAAAAAAAGGATAAAAGGAAATGTGATATGCAATTTCCAATTTGAATGCTTAAAGATTTTTAAACCAAAAGATCAAACACCAAATCTGAAATTCCACATAAAAAAGGTAGCTTTCAAGTTTAAAGGGATAACTAACAACCTCTCCTTTCCCCCAACAAAACCCCAAACATTTTTCTTCCACTAGACTCAGCCTGACATCCAGTTGGTTTGTATTAACAGGTGCCTTATACTGGCCAGCATAGTGGGCATAAAATGGTAATGGCAAAGGCACTACCTCATTCTCTCAAGACATGAAAATTATGCCCTGGAGTTTTAAAAGCAAATATTTGGGAACACATCTATATATATATATGTAGTGTGTGTGTGTGTGTGTATGCGCCTAGGCGACGGTTCAACCGATACCTATGATGCACAATGACCACCAGGGGAAAGACACTCAACACACAGGCATGGAAACATGGAACAGACTGAGGATTCTCAGAGGAAAGGAGGGAAGGGGGATGGCAGGAAGAGATTAACCAAAGATCTTATATGCATACTAGAGGTCCGGTGCACGTATTCATGCACTGGTGGGGTCCCTCAGCCTGGCCTGCAGGGATGCGGCCAAAACCAGCAGTCTGACATCCCCCGAGGGGTCCCGGATTGTGAGAGGGGGCAGGCAAGGTCAAGGGGCCCCACCAGTGCATGAATCCATGCACGGGGCCTCTAGTATTACGTAACAGTCTTGGCTTAAACTGCATTCTTGCAGGCAAGACACTTTTACATGTCTGACAGTGTGTACAGGCCACTAGAGTCCCAGGTGAAATGAATATTCTCAACATTACCTGTTCTGATGCAGCTCTTCATATATCTATCTGCTTTTTAAGGTTGCAGCGGTTGCCAAATGGTGTTCTGTGGACCACTAGTGGTCCATGAGGTCCGAAAGGTTGGCGACCGCTGGACTAGAGACTCTACTTTGTTAAAAAGGTTCTTGGTCAAGGGAAATCATGCATTTTAAAAAATAACTTAGCAAAAGCAACACTATACTAAAAAACGGTCGCTGTCACTGGCTTTTAGTGAATTTACAAACAGCATGTATTATATCACACCGCAAGATGGACAGATTATTAATTACCTTTCAGGGTTTCCAGCAAGTTTTTGGCTACAAACCAACATATGGCTTCAAAGAAAGGGAATTTGAAGAGATCTGGTGTTTTTAGCCTTTTTTCCATCTCATAACACCTGAATAAACACAATTTAAGAAATTTAATATTTATATTAGCATTTCAAAGTTAAATGAAGGCAACCAACTTAAGGAAAATAAAATAAGCAGGTTCTGACATTACATAATACAACAAGTACTGTATATTACATAATACAACATTTGGGTAAGCCTAAATTATGGCCTTATCCAGGTCGGACCTTAACAAATTTGACAGTATACTGAAGAATTACATTGTCTTCAAAAGATCAGACCTTGGGATTCTGATCCTAATCTTAACAGAAGGAATTTCACAAGGGTTCTGCTATAATAAATAAGACAGTATGTTTATAAGTCAACTCCATGTATTGAACAACCCACTCAGGTTTTCTTTAGTTTCTACCAAGCACTCAAGCTCAAGACCACACTTAGTGCTGGTCAAGGGGAAGAGATAGGAACCACAGCTTGCCACAGTGTTCGTCTTCTGTGGGAGTCCTTGCAGCCATCCATACAGCCAGGAGCGACCTTTCCTCTGGGGACAGCTCAGGTATACAGAAACAAGATTCACAGCTGGTAGTGTGGGAGCTGTCCTGACTTAAAGCTTTATGCCTGGTAAGGGCCAGTACTTCATGTAATAACTCCACACACACATAACATCGAGGGTCCCCACGGGCAAGTCAAGCTACAAGATCACCACACTTAGGAAAGCCCAAACACATGGTTCCTACTAGGTTCTCCCAGTCCTGATGTGGTTTATCAATCAGGAGTCATTTCACTGTAAGCAGTGCTGCCTAGTAACATTCTCCTCTCATCAGGCTACCAGGGGCACAGAGTTAGCTAAAGGTCAACTTTTCACTCAGAAAGGGAAACAGGAAAGAGCTGTTAATCCTTTCCCCATGTAACATTACAGGTGTTCTGACAGCCATCTGAACCTAGGGTTGCTTTTCCCAGCACCATACTTACACCTGAGATTGACTGAATTTAGTTCATCTCCCTCATTGTAAAAACAGCCAAGAACCTGTACGTTTTTATACAATTTTGAAAGTTGGGGAGATATTTAGTCTCAAATTGAATAAATATTTTTTTAATTTTAGATTTAAAATGCATCAAGCTATCCTCCTGACAAAATTTTTTAAGACAATACTTTCGTTAAAAGTTCCTATTCTTGCCCTAGCCGATTTGGCTCAGCAGACAGAGTGTCGGATTGCTGACTGAAGGGTCCCAGGTTCGATTCCGATTAAAGCAGCGGTTCTCAACCTGTGGGTCGCGACCCCTGTGGGGGTCGAACGACCCTTTCACAGGGGTCGCCTAAGACCATCAGAAAACACATATATAATTACATATTGTTTTTGTGATTAATCACTATGCTTTAATTATGTTCAATTTGTAACAATGAAATTGGGGGTCACCACAACATGAGGAACTGTATTAAAAGGTCGCGGCATTAGGAAGGTTGAGAACCACTGGATTAAAGGCACTTGCCCGGATTGCAGGCTCGATCAATGATTCTCTCTCATCATTGATCGTTTTTATCTCTCTCCCTCTCCATTCCTCTCCGAAATCAATAAAAATATATATTTTTAAAAAGTTCCTGTTCTTAATAATTTCTCAGGGCCTATCTCCATGAGATCTCAATTACGGTAAAATATGTTGTTGAATTTAGTTTTTGAAACATCCTGTTTAAAAGAAAGGACAAAAGATCCTTTAAATACTTATGACACAAACCTGAGCTGCATGCCAATGTTAAGGTTGTGCAGAAAGTTCCCCCCAAAAGCCATACAATCCTGAGAAGTGAGCACAGCATGAATCCACCCTGAAATGGTTAAAAGTATATTAATCAGTGACTTTTCAATATTTAAAGCAAACAAATGTGATATCTACCTGTGAGATAAGAAACTCAAAAAATGTCAACATCAATTTACTTCATACTCCAGTGCTAGAAAAGTTAATGTCTATAAAAGCTATAGATTCATTCATTCACTCTAATGTTTAGTGGAGGCTTATTATATACCAGCTGTGTGCTGAGTTTGAGTAAATAAATGCATTGACATAATTAGATAAAAAATTATGGTACAACATAGGTAAAGGCTTTTGTGGTTGTTGTTTTAATTTAAAGGAAAAAAAATCCAACTTAATATTAAAGATTTTACTGTGCGACAAGTCAAATCTGGTTAGAAGGACACAAGCATAATTCCATTAAGTGACCACTGAGACTGGCTGATCATTTCACTTCCCTAGTATCTGAAATGCGCACTGGGGGACTAAGCAGAGGAGGATCAGTGGAACTCAACCAGATACCTGCTAAGAAGGAAAAGGTAGATTACCCACATTTCATTATGGAGGGTTTTGGTCCCATAAATATAAATGTTGGCAATCCAAATAAGAATTTTCCTACAAAAATATTTTCAAAGAGGAAAACATTTCTGAGAGATGACACCTAGCTTTTGAAAGAAATGTCCATAGACTAAACATGGACTTCATGTAAGTATAAATAAATATATACATTTGCATGTAAAAATTGTTAAAATAAGTCTCATTTTTTTTTTACATTTTTCATCTTTTAATCACTCAGTGTGCTGTGACACAGTATCAAAAAACTCCTCAAAGATTCACTTTCAAGTAGTGCCCTTTTGTGTACTCAAAGGCACAAAGCCTTGAGCTTGACCCTGAAATCACAAATTAGAAGTCTGTCAGCTACAAATCCTATAGATCAGTGGTTTTCATAAAGGCCATACTCCCTGTAGAGGGCATTTGGAAAAGTTTGGGGGCTTCTTTTGATTGTCACAATGATCAGGAGCCACTACTGTCAAGTTTTGAGTGGGAGCCAGGGGTGCAAAATTCAGGACAGTTCCACACAGTAAGAAATTGCCCTGCACTACTCAGGACAGAAATTTCTGCTGGGCATTCATTTAGTACAAAATCTGCCATGAATTATCTGAGCCTAGAAACTTCAACTCCATTATCCTATCTAATAAAAGAGAAACATGGTAATTGGTGTAGACCGCTACCCTTCCCATTCGCTAATCAGGGTGATATGCAAATTAACTGCCAGCCAAGATGTCGGCCGGCAGCCAGGCAGCTTGAAACTAACATGAGGCTTGCTTGCTTCAGTGACAGAGGAAACCAACATTCCCCGCCTGCCTTGCCGGCCTCTGAGCCTGCAGTTTGAAACATTGTAACAAATACAGACGCT